ACTACTTACTATTAAAACTTTTAGTCCAAAATCATATCTCAGAACTATTGTAAAACAATTTCTCGATCATCAGGCAGCATTTTCATTACCATTTCATGTAATAACATTCTGTTGGAGGCTTCTGGAGGCATTAAACTCTTCAGACATCTGGTTCCTATCACCACCATTGTGCACAATTCACAACTTAGTTCTCTAGAATGTGGCATCTCACATCAAACCACTCTGAATGGCGTTGTTTACATATTAACCATTGAATTATGCAGAAGTTTTGAAAAATCCCCTTTAATGACTGGTGCAAGCACAAGTAACTCCTGTAATATGATGTTCGGTTCACAGTGTGAACATGTTTCTATGTTGTACTACATATTGTAGCAAAACTGAGCATCCTAAGACATGTGGGTGCACATACTACATTAGAAATGCAGTATGGGTATAATACAGTATGAGTATTGTAAATAACCAGTGAATTTTTGTCAGTGTAAACAGTGGCACTATATGTAAAACCACAACATTTTTAATGATGGCAGGTAGCAGACAGCACTGGACTATGGAGTAAACATGGGCATTGTTAAACATCTGGACTTATGACAGCGATGTGTCAAAATTAAGAGGTCATTTGGTGTGGATGACCTGCTGAAGTCAGGGAAAGTCCCACCACTGACATTAGAGAAAAGCTAAAAGAAAAAGCTCAGGCAGAAGTACTGAGTAACGAAGAGTAACAGGGAAACTTCGCTTATTATGGGAAAAGTTATAGCACTTGTATGTCACATGTAAAGGTTTGGTTAACCTCAGGTGACAACAGAGCCATCCCTGCTAATAGCACCCCACTTAAGTCTGTCATACAGTGATATATGTATACATACAGTTTGGAAGAATTTAGCATTTTCTTTCAAATAATGAACAGATTGCCTATCATAGTTCAAAAGAAAAAACTATAGAAAAAATATAGAAATTAAGAAAGAAGTTTGTACTTGAAGTATTTCACAACTCATTTCTAATGTTCCTGTAAACTCATTCCTAATGTTCATATATCATATATATCATATGGCATGGCGTAATTTTCATGGTAGAAAATGCAAATTTGCATTTTAAACATTTAGACTAAATATTTTCATCCAATATACAGCGAACATAAAATTTTCTGCATGTTAAATGGATTTAAGGATTTCAGCTTTTCTATTTTGCCATTTTGCAGATTAATATAAGTGTCTGTAAAAAGCAGCATTTATTAATAACAAGGTAAAACCATATGCTTTGTCGAAATGAGATCAAAACAGTAAGAGATCAAGAGTCTTCCATCTCATCACTCTGTGGGTGGGGTACAAGTTTTAAATGTGTACATTATTTACAGAATGCTACTAAGACAAGTCTCACATTGTCTGCATCAGCATCACAAGTTTCAGACATGGCCCGACTTAAAGCTTGAGGTTGGTCATTTGCGTCCGACTCTGGAGTAAACATGTTCTGGTTTCTTGCATAGAATTATAAAAAACACAGCAAGACTGCACAATGTCGTTCACAAACTTCACACTACAGTCCGTCATTTTGCAGAAACACTTCTATCTTTTCTTGAGCCTCTTAAATGAACGGCTGGTCTGAATGTTATACAGCTCATGTTGTGGTGTTAGGCAGCCAGCGTTTGAATGGAGGTAACAGATTTTGGAAGAATATGCAGAATCATCAAGAACAATGTTATTGCAGCCAACATCTGTAAACAAAGTGCTACCAGCTGCCCATCTCCAAAAACTGGATAATATCAGAACTGTGTCATTGCACACTTTTCCAGGAGATCCTACATTCACATTCCACAGCGCCCCTTGGCCATGAACTATTGCTTGTATTTAATAAAGTGGAGGTGTTGTGTTGTGAATAATTAGACTGGAATTGTGAAGGCCTGAGGAAACACTTTACTATGCCAACACCTCACGGGGTAACACTGCTGCTTAAAATTGTCTGCCATTTTACTGAGCTTCAGGCTTCAGTTTTTGGCACAGATATGAGAAAAATTTTTTTTTGACAATCTGAAATTCACTTGTCATCCGTGTGCTTTCTTGCTGTGTTTTCCCACCAGTCACTGGTCCGTGGTAAAATCTACACTGTGATCATTCACACACACACACACACACACAAAAAAAAACTGAAATGAATACAAAACTGGATCATTTAATATGTTGTGTTGCGTAATGAAGAAACTGAAACCATAAAACCAACAGTAGACCAGTGGTCAAAAACTTTTCCTCTGCAAATCTACCAGAAAATGGGGTTCAACTGTAAGCTGCTACATTCAATATACAAATTCAGTATATTAATATATTAAAATTAGATTTGGCTCCATCTTTTGATAAGAATCAAAAAATAAAGATTGGTGGAGGGTGATTATACCCTGTAGTCCCTTTTCCCCCCAAGTTACCCTATAAACACCTCTCATGTCTTACATTATAAGACACAAGTTGGCTATGAGTGTATTATTATTATTATTATTATTATCATCATTGTTGTAGTTGTTGTTGTGTAGTTGTATGCAACAGTGAAATTTTATTTTGTGGATTTGTGAAATTAAAATAACACACACACACACACACATACAATTACTGTTTATTTGCTGAATTTAACAAACCAAACAAAAAAACTGTGCAAATGCTCTGGCCCATTTTTATTTTTCACGTTTTTTTTCCAATATGTTAAACTCAGCAAATAAATAGAAACTGAAACTGAAAGAAAGCAACAAAACATGCAGTTCGGCAGCACCTACCATAACTTTCAGCAATGTGTATACAAAAGAAAGAAATAGGCAATCAATGAAGTCTTTCAATCAATTAAACCACAATCAACCCCACTGTCTAAACCTTATCAGCATCATCAGACTAGTCCGTTGAAAACCCAGTTAACATTTCACACTTTTCTTCAAACTCTCCACCAACCATTCTACACCTACTGTAGTTAGGGTACACCCCTCTTTCACTGAAGACCCAAAGGCTCTGTTTCTGCATACACAATACCTTTCGAGTAGGCACGCAATTTAAATTGTACAAACAGTCCTGACCTCCATTTTGTGATTATATCAAGATAAAACATGAGATTCACTATTGACTAAGTGCTCAGCTGAGGAGTAGGTCAAAGTTAACGCAGAAAGTGAACGAGGAGAAAAAAAAGGGTAAGCACCACAATCTTATGAACAGGGTTGTGCCCTTAACATGGACAATGCATCATTGTAGCGAATGACAAAATTATTTTTGTTTATCTGTGGAACACAGTAACTCCATTGTAACTGATGTATGAAATTCTCCTGGCTGTACTCAGGACTATTTTCACATGATAATCTGCAACAAGGGAGTCATACACAAACCCCATAAGCTTCCCACTCATGCAGTGCTGTCAGTAGTTTATGTATTACCTCACAGCAAAATAAAACAGGGTCTGATAGCTGTATAATTGTAAATCAGTTCTTGTTAAAAGGTACATAATGTTAAACATAACTTTTGGTCTCTTATCCTAGAGGATTGATTGGAGGACTGTGCTTGAACTGAATAAGGCCTATTCTCCATTGTTTTTTGACACAGTGCCCCACACACTGCATTAGTGATTGCATCACACTGCCCTCATTAAGTTAAACCACACTGTGTTCTCAACTCTAACCCAACACTTTTGTTTCTCAGCGACTACTACAAGCCCTAAACGAGAGCAGATATTCGTAAGAGAGGCGTTCAAACAATTCTTGTAATCACAGTGTTTGTATACTGGGTCACAATGGATGTGTGAATGTGTAGATGGTGTCAAGGTCCATCTGAGACATGCTGTGTTTAGACAGCTGCGCTAGGGGGATAAGATGTCATACAGCATGAGAGTCAGGCATTCCCAACTAAACATACATAACATTTGTCTGCAGCCTTAATCGCAGAAAACTCAATGCTCACAATGCAAATGCTACACACTAGTTAAATAATTAAAACAATGTTGCTATATTACTTATATGTAGTTTGGCAGCAGTTTTATAATAAATGACGTCCCTTAAAGCATTTAACAGTTAATCAGATTATGTGTGCTGGCATCTTGGCCACAGAAAAAGCTAAAACATTCCAAGTATTAACAACCACTAGTGGTGAAATGATTGGGAGGCCTATATTTTGAACAGGTTTTACACTGATTCCTACTGACCTCCTTGAAATAAAAAAAATGGAGGTGTTATAAAGTTTATTAGAATTGCTAGAACCTACTCACCACAGTATATAAATATTATAGGCAGCATTATAACGACACTAGTGTAATAATGGAATGATTATAAGCAATGTAAGAATATTACATTTTTGTTGATACATATTTATTACAATACATAAAAACACTCTGTGAACACTGAGACTATAAAGTGCTCCAATTTTTTAAAATTAGATTTTCAGAGTAATACAAAACAATTAATGGACTATACTACCCAAATATCAACATCCATCAAATCAGTGTACAGTCTGACTAGTTTCAAAACCACTGATCAAATGAAGTTTTTTTGATCCTCTATAGGGAACAAGCTTAAATGTGGCATTTTTTTCTGCAAATTTTAGTGCGCGATTTCTGGAGTTTTTCTAGGTTTAACCTTATTAGGAAAGAAATTAAAAAGTAAATTTTAAAATGTGCTATAACTTTTTCACACACACACACACACACACACACACATACACACAATTATATAGAATTCACAATATGTTATTCACAATATATAATTCAGCAAATAAACAGCAATTAAAATGCATTAAAAAGGGCAGACGTGTTCTCTGTAGAGGATGCGTTAACTTATTTCCACTTAGAAAACATGTAGTTTGACTGGGGACATCCAAACTTTTGCATACTCTTTTGTATCTCCTTCAGTTCATATTGTATTTGTATTGATTTACATCTAACTCCATAAGCAATCTTGAATATTATGTATTGCATTTAGTTCATTTGTTTTCTAGTTATTAATACAGCACTCTGGGTAGAAAACATGGCTTTGAGGATTTGAGGTACACCATTCTCAGAAACATAATTCTACCATAAGCAGATTTGACTCTCGTTTGTTCTACTGCTCTGGACTTATAGGCTAGTCCAACATAGTTCCTGCAAAAATATATGTAACAATGTTATTAGGATGTAAATAACTTTTTCTCATTTGAGGGAAATTCATGAAAACCCTTCTTGTTTTTCAGTTTGGGCTTATTAATTCATGTTCATATTGGACATTTTGGTGTCTGCCGTCCAACTTCTGGCTCTTGGTGGACATTACAGCTAACAGTGTCATAATACTCAACTAAAATAACTTTATGATAACACACAATGTAAATATTTTATGCCTTTATTGATACATATTTATACTGCATAAAGCACTTGGGTAGCACTCCCACTGATGTGCAAGAAGTGAACATTATGGCTATAAAGTGCTCCAAACTCCTTGAAATTACAGCTACAAAATAATACAGTTAATTATTGCACTATACTACTAAAATGTCAACATCGATTGAAACAGTAGTCTTTCCTTTAATGCACGCTTTATTTGCATAGACGTTTTTCTCATCTTTTATAAACATCTAACTGATCAATGACCAGAAGTAACCTCAGGAATTGTATTTAGTTTTGTTAAACAGGTAAACATACAGTACTGTGATTAGAAAACTAACATGGCTTTGAGGTACACCATTCTCAGAATAATTCTGCCATAAGCAGATTTGACTCTGTCTCAACAACTGCTCTGGAGCAACTGGCAAATTCAACACAGTAGCTTGAACAATATATGTAATAAACATCATTAAAATACAGCTAACTTGAGTGTCATTTCAGTGTTGGACTTAAACTGTAGATTCCATTTGCGCCTGCAGAACAACTTCTGGCTCCTGCTTGATATTCCAGCTGACAGTGTGTTGTTGAGGAGTGCTTTGACTGGAGAAATCCTCTGTGCCTACCAGTGCTTCCGATTCAGACCCGGATTTCCAGTTTGTGTCACAGCAGAGTTTCGGGGCACACTGGCTATAACAGGGGAGCTCACACTCGGAGACGCTGGACTCCGTTACGTCAGAGGAGAACTCTGGTTGGACCGTGGTGGCGTGAATGCCTTCATCATGGAAGAAGCTTTTGATGCGTTTGGCTATGTCCATGTAGGAGGTCGGGTCAGGGCACTTGACGTGGGCCGTGGCGATGATCCTGCTGCCGGCCAGCTGCCAGATGTGGAGCTCATGGACAGCCAGGACCCCCTCTAAGCTCCTCAGCTTACCGTCCAGTCTCTGCATGTCAATCTGCTTGGGCACAGTCTGCAGGAGAATGAGGGCTGACTCTTTTAAAAGGGGGAAGGTGGTGTAAAGCAAGATGACCACCATTATTACACACAGCGTGGGGTCCAGGTAGAGTACCCAGCAGGGTCCAGCTACCGAGACAACACCAGCAGTGCCATTGGACAAACCCACCATTTCTGAATGTGTGTGCTGGTGGTCAGAGCAGTGGCTGTTGTAGCAGGGATTACTACAGGTCTCCTCCCCATGGCACGGCCTCCATACAAACGTGAAGATTAGAGCATTGACCACTACAATGACCGAGCCGAGGGCGTCGCCCAGCACGTGCAGGAAGACTCCGCGCATGTTCAGCTGGGAGGCTGAATCTGTACTGGGCTCAAGTGACTCCAGCGAGATGTCACCATTCATCTGGACGTCCAGGTTATGGCTTAGGATGATGTCTGAAAAATGTCAAAACGGAAATGAATATCAAAATGGCCAAACATGAACAACTCGCATGAACTTAGATTGGTTTTAGGTAAATGGGATAATGTACAGCACGCAAAAACTGAAGCAATCAATTTATTCAATTTACACTGCTTAGTCCATTTGTACATCTACAAAGAACAAACTACTAAGCATCACCTGAAATTGGAACAAGTTTTTTTTAAATAATGGTTCACTGAAAAATTAAACCCAAAGCGTTGCCGACTGGCGAAGACAAATGCAGTCATTTGGCCAAGGCACAGTAAGTAGCTATGAGGCTAATAAAGCCAACAAATAATGGAAGTCTATGTCATCCAAAATCTTTTTCTTTTGGCACTGACTTCTACTTTATTAGACACGTAGCTCCAGAGCAAAACTAAAGAAGCAAACATCAGGCAGCAAATATGTCTTGGCTGCTTGACAACATTTGGATTAAAGGGTAACATGCCAACTTTTCATTTTTGATAAAAAATGTAACTGAAAAATGAAAAAAGTGTTATTACCAGGCCTATAATATATAATACTGATATTCACTCTATATTGTTATGGAAACTACAGCAAGTAACTAATTTAAACAATAGCATCAGATGTTAAATCAAGAGAACTAGACTGTCTGATAAACTAATACCTGATTCAATCTGGACAGCATGGTCACCTGGATGACCACAGTGGCTTTTCACCATGAGGTTGTAAGCCTCCTCTTGAGCTTCCTTCTTTGCTGATTTATCGGACTTATCATATTTCCTATGAGAGTGCCCACCGTGAGTGTGCCCGCCGTGAGAGTGTCCGTGCCCTCCAGCTCCAGCGTGACCGTGGAACAAGAAAAGCCCCAGGAGGTTTATGAGAAGTCCGGCCACACCGACCCACACCACGACCTGTGGGTTTTCGATCTCGTGGGGGTCCGCGTAGCGCTCCACGGCCTCCAGTAAGATGGTGAAGCAGAGCGCGGTGAGGAACACGGCGTTTACCAGAGCGCCCATGACCTCGGCTCGGATCCAGCCGAACGTGTTTTTGCTGGTGGCATGGGTCTTCTCGGCGAAGCGCACGGCCACCAGCGCCACGAGCAGGGCGATCACATCGGACAGCATGTGAAAGGAGTCGGACAGCATCGCCAGAGACGCGGTCACTCTGCTCACCACGAGCTCCACGACGAAGAAGCTGAAAGTTAGGCAGAGCATGCACAGCAGGCGCCCGTGCTTCTGCCCCAGAGCCATGATTCTACCCCGAGCAATGCAAAACAAGAGGCGCTTGTGAGAAAAGGGCGAGTACTGGCTTACATGTTGGCCCCCTCAGCCCCTCTGCGCTCGGCCAGTCCTGCAGCAACCTCGGCGGCTCAAAAACCAGGCTGTAAATAAACAGCCTGACGCGCTGTCGCTATGGGCAACGCGCGGAGGAATGCCGTTTTAAACAACGCCAGGAAATAAGAGACGAGAAACGGCATCGCTTTACACAAACCCACTGAGAGGAAATCCCACTTTAACTGTTCGCCTCCGAGCCTTTAAACAGACTTTGCACTTTGCCGGCTAACTTTGCACTCGGTCGCGGGGGGACACGCCCACCGCCATTTCCTATTGGACGACCGCAGTTAAGTCTATGCAGCCCCTCACTTTCTTTTCAGAAAACTGACAAAAATGGAAACGTGTGTATAAGTTTCATTACAGAATTGTTAAAAATTCGCTCTTTGTCTAAATAAAAACTTGCTTTTTTATTTTATTTTAGTCTATTTAGTTTATTTATTTAAAATTTATTTATTCATAACAATAAATGCCACCGTTAGCAATATAAACACTGAAAAAAGTTTCCTGATTCAAATGCTATTGAGTTAAATAAAATATATTACATCAACAAAACTGCTGTCGGTCACTGTACTTCTTTTGTTATGAACTGAGATGATGTGACACATTTTATGTGCAAAGGACACATTTGAATCAGGTGAATTCAAAGCACCATTTATTTTCAGTGTAAAATGCAATAAAATCCATCCATTTATTTTTATTTATTTATTTTATACGTGCTAGAAATCCCCACCTCTCTCATTTAAAAAATGGATGCGCAACAAAGTTTATTAGAATTGCTAGAACCCACCCACCACAGTATATAAACATTATAGGCTGCGTTATAATGACACCGAATGATTCAACTTGCAAAAAAATGGCCGAATATTGAACTGAGTGTGATATTAACTGAGTGTGATACGCGCTAGAATGCGTAAGCGGAGGCAGCAGGCAGGATGATGCTCAGCTTGTGAGTCCATTGTCTGCAGCCATGCAGGGTGTGGACCAGCAAGGTAGAGAGCAGGGCGGCGTTCGCCTGCACACACAGCCGACCACAGCCGCGTCAGTGTCATCATCACTGGGGACGATGCGGGTGTCTATCGGAGTTTAAGCTGATGCTCATACAGTGGATATACGTTCGCTTCACGGAGAAGCCGTTTTTGGACTACGTGGGAAGTTGCTCGCTTCTCTTATGGAGGAGAATCGTTCACGGATGATGCCTCCGCTCTGGTAGAGCCGTGTTTTTTCATCTACATTCGGTTCAGTCTGAAGGTGCACAATGTCTAAGAGGAACAGCGCGGTGCTGATGAGACCGAGGTCCATGTCGGTAGGTAAGAAATCAGAAGCCGTTAAGGTTGTGGTGCGGTGCCGCCCTGTAAACAAGAAAGAAGAGGCGATGAGTCACGAGAAAATAGTGGAAGTGGACGTGAAATTGGGACAGGTAAGCATACACAACCCCAAAGGGCCGGGAACTCTGGTGAAAACGTTCACGTTTGACGCCGTCTACGACACGGCATCAAAACAAAGTGACCTGTACGATTATTCGTGTAAACCCCTGATTGACTCAGTCTTGCTCGGCTTCAATGGAACTATATTTGCCTATGGTCAAACTGGCACTGGGAAGACATACACCATGCAGGGTCTGCCCACAGATCCGGAGAAACGAGGAGTCATTCCAAATTCCTTCCAGCACATTTTCACTCACATATCCAGATCTCAGAATCAGCAGTACTTGGTGAGGGTGTCTTATCTGGAGATATACCAGGATGAAATAAGGGACCTCCTTTGTAAGGACAACAATAAAAAGCTGGAGCTTAAGGAAAACCCAGAGCAAGGCGTGTACGTCAAAGACCTCTCTTCAGTGGTGACCAAAAACATCAAAGAAATTGAGCATGTGATGAATCTGGGGAATCAGTCCAGGTCTGTTGGATTCACTAAAATGAATGAGCGCAGTTCACGGTCACATGCCGTTTTTGTTATAACCATCGAATGCAGTGAGATGGGCATTGATGGAGAGGAACACATTCGTGTGGGCAAGCTGAACATGGTGGACCTGGCAGGCAGCGAACGTCAAAGCAAGACAGGTGTCCAGGGCCTGAGGTTCAAAGAGGCCGCCAAAATAAACTTGTCCCTCTGCGCTCTCGGAAATGTCATATCAGCCTTGGTGGATGGGAAAAACTCCCACATCCCGTACAGGGATTCCAAACTCACACGCCTACTGCAGGACTCTTTGGGAGGGAACTCCAAAACAGTCATGGTGGCTACAATAGGGCCCACCTCATGCCACTATGAGGAGACCCTCACCACCCTGAGATTCGCAAACAGGGCAAAGAACATCAGGAACAGGCCAAAGATCAACGAGGACCCCAAAGATGCTTTGCTGCGAGAGTTTCAAGAAGAGATAGCCCGCCTGAAGGCCCAGCTGGAGGAAAGAGGGATGCTGGCGAAAGAAAGGAGGAGGCGGAGGAATAGTATGAGGATGAAGAGGAGCATGAGCAGTGGGGAGGTGGAGACACCCAGAAACCGTGAGGTGGACGTTGTTGAGATGGTGCAGGAAGAGAGTGCTGAGGAATACTGGTGGAAGCAGCAGGTGGGGCAGATGGCCAAGACCGCTGCCAACGACAGCCCGGAGGTTAGGAGGAAATTAGGCATGGTGGATGAGAAGGCAAAGACTATGGAGGAATTACTGAAGGAGCAGCAGACTATGGAAATCATGATTGAAAAATACAAGGTTAGAGCCTATACATATTAGGCCTTTTATAGCCTGAGCATTCTTTCTGAGGCAATAAACTGAATTATAATTTGGATCCTATTTGCTATGGTTGTTTTTTAGGCCTTGGAGAGTAAGCTGCTGATTGGAGGAAAGAACATCATCGACCACACCAACGAGCAACAGAGAATGCTGGAGCTGAAGAGACAGGAGATTGCAGAGCAGGTAATAAATGGAAATGCACACTAACCACAGTGTTCAGCTGATGCAAAGTAATCTCAATAACCAGATACTGCTGTGCGTGTGTGTGTGACCTCTCATAGGAGAGGCAGGAGAGGGAGATGCAGCAGCTGATGTTTGAGCAGGATGAAGAAACGGTGGAACTGAAAGAAACTTTCTCTTCTCTACAGCAGGAGGTGGAGCTTAAGACCAAAAAGCTAAAGAAGGTGAAGCGGGTCTTCAACTAGGCCTTCAAGCTGTACACATTAGAACAAAACTGAAGCTATAAACATAGTGTGAATGTTATAAACCAGTTTTGTTGCAGATACATCTCTAAGATGATTCTACAATGATGAGAATATTTGATAGCTTTCAAACTAAACGAATGCCTCATGTTCAAAAAGCAGTCACCATTTTTGTCCACTTAGAATAAAGTGGTTTAAAGCTATAAAACTATCATACTGAAGCTATAAAGGATGTTTCAACCTGGACTGCATCTTGAGTCTCTTAAAGGCACAGTAACGAAAAAACAGCCTGTTTAATTCTAAGGGATAAAAAAGAGGCTGAAAATGGTCAGGCAAACATGAATTATGACTGTTTTTGGTACATAAAATCATGTGAGTGGGCCTCAGGGGGGAAAAATACAAGACCAATGTAGGATATGGGCCCTTTTAGTTGTGAAGAAACACTGGTTTAAGTTGTACTGTTTAATTCCATTCTACATTGTGTACAAGTTTAAATTAAATTGATTATTGAATAACAATTGTTATGTAACAGGTGACTCCAAACTTTTGAATGCTAGCCTATCTCATTGCTGTCATAACAAAATCTAAAATCTCTGGAATGGATCTTTTTTTGGGAGAAGGAAAAGATCTTTCTGAACTTTAACGTAGGCCTGTGTCAATGTAATATTTTATGCTATATCATCTTGGACCATAATTGCATTTTTAAAATCGTAAAAAGAAAATTTGAGGGGTTTGGATATGGCACCAACAGTATCTTCCTTTTGTATGCAGATCACAGTTGTTATATGAATATTAATATATAATTTGTTGTTCTTTACATAGCTGTATAGCAAACTGCAGTTGGTGAGAGCTGAGATAGGAGACATCGATGATGAACATGTGACAACAAGACAGGAACTGGAGCAGACACTGAATGAGCTGACAAGAGAGATGAAATTCAAGTATTTCTACTACAGTTATCTTCCACAAAAAATGTATAGCCCAAAGTTATTCATAAACAATGATGCATGGATATAGTAGCAGTAAATCCAATGCAAGACCCATTTTAGCATGATTGTTTGTCTTGTTATGTGATTTGTTTGTCTTTTATTTTTGTAGGAATCTCATTATTGACAATTTTATTCCTCCTGAGGACAAAAACAAGATCTTAAACCGCCTCCACTATGACAGTGAGGAGGACCAGTGGAAAGTCTTACCCCTACTCCCCTCTGAAAAGTGAGTATAACAGTTGCATTCCACACTCTTAACACTTTCATCAAATATACCACGACTCACAAATAAATTCATATTATTCACATTATTCCCCAGCAACTCTCCTCGTGTCAGACGAAGGCCAACTTCTGTAGCGGGATACAAGAGACCGATCAGCCAACATGCGCAGGTTGCTGTGGCAACAGGAGCTCCTTCCAGATACCGGGTTGGTACACAGTGACCACTAATAGGCAGGCAATTTAGAGGGATTATTTATTGCAAAAATACATTTGCTGAAGAACCATTCATGAGATAACCAGGTTTTGGTGCTACACAGGCAGAGAATGTCATGCTTTTGGAGCTGGATATGTCGCCACCAGTCATGGTCCCCCTGGATTTAGAAGGAGCAGAAATGAGGACGCGAGACTTCCTTCGTGATTTTAGCCACCACAGGAGGAGGACAACAGCATCCCGTGTCATGCGGGCCAGATCGTGGTGAGTGCCAAATAATCATGTGCCAAAATGCAGTATAAAGTTTGTAGACACCTGCTCGCTCATCATTTATTCTAAAATCAAGGGTAATAAAGAGGCTTGGTGACATTAGGCTCATGTGCGGCTGCTCCAGTGCTTCCCATTCTATTTGGCAATGTTTCTCAATGAGATTATACAAGCTGTGTGGGCAAATGTATGCCTTAGCCAGCAATGGGTCAGTGGAAGGGTGTGCTTAAAAGAGTTAAATTCACTAATTGTGAATATCTAATTGTGGTGTCCAGATACTTTTGGACAAATAGTGTAAGCTCACCACACAAAAAAATGAGCCACCTGCATAATTTCTTCTCTAATGCTTGGTTATGACAATCCTGTCAGGTAGAGATTACACCAGTCTCTTGTCTAATCTATCCATGTCTACCATAAACTAGATGCACCTCCCAGCCTACATTTGTTTGTACCGACTTCAGCATTTAACTTGCTGTTCCAAAGTGAGAGCTGGGATGAGGTAGGGCTGGGAGTCGGTCCCAAAAAGAATCAATTCCTTGATTCCTGGCATTTGGGAATCAAGAGACTCCAAAACTTTGGACTCATTTCCACCCAGTGATGTTCAAGTTTGCCGGCACCTACGTGCACACTGTATGAGTAAAGTTGGTTAATTTAGCTAGTGTCTCCAAATTTCCTTGCTAGGATCAATTATAATTGATACTGCACTCTACTTTTGCCAGATGTCCTTTTCTATGTCTTAGTTTTTGAATTGGGATCACTGTGTGCAATCAACTCCATTGATTCCCATCACTTCGAATTCATGTGTTCCATCATATCTGTTGTGAACGAGTCACATACAGACACCCTACAGTTGTCATCCTGCAATGTGGGAATGTCAGTGTTCTGTTTTGCTTGGATATGAAACACAAAGTCATTGAAAAGGTGGGCTAAATGGACAGGAACTCAAGAGACTGGTGCCATTCTTACCTGTCATTGAGGAAATCAGACGCTTAACCATTTAACCAGAAATTATGCACTTCTTGTTCAGGGAGCTTATCTTCTACTGCTTTTATGTTGACCATCTTTAGGTGCTTGAACCTTGATCTTTTTTTCTCTCTCAAGGTATCAAGGACCAAGTCCACCTTCTACTTCATCAACCAGCTCTGTGGCCTCTGGGTCTCAGTGCCCACCTTCTACCATGGGAGCATGCGCAGCCATGCTCCAACCATGAAGTATTTTAAACACAGTGGTTTTGCCATGCCGTAAATGCAAAGCTTTATCAACAGACTCATTTGCTCTATTCTTTTTTTCTGTGAGCTTTACTGCAAGATCATTCAGTTTTTACTTATGCACACTAACTTTCTGTCAAAGCACACTTTTGATCAACCACTCCAAGCACAGTTTTCTCCTGTTTACCTGGAACTTTGATCTAAATGTGTCATGTATAATCCAGTAATGTCACTCTTGAATAAAATCCATGACAAAGATAAATGGTTATATTGCATGACAAAACAGTGATCTGCAGTCTGATTAATTTAAATGGCATGCAGCCTAATACTACAATCACTGATAATTGGATTTTCAGCTCATTCCTGTTACAATGGAGAGTGAAACATTCATTCAATCACACCACCAAGTTATTATTTTCTAACATCACTGACCCCTAGTGGATATAATTACCATAAAATGGTTCAGTTCTATTACAAAGTGAACTCAGTGACACCATTAGAGGAAGACAATACCAACTAATTATATAAGCACCAAGGTATCAACCACAGGAAAACCCTGTCATTGGTCATGGTGCTTAAGGGGAATTTCCACTGATTGTTTTATGTCTGCATTATTCAGTCATTGAAATACACGCAAAGTTGTTCAGAATGGTTTGAAACAAAATGCACCATTCTAGAAAATCCTAATCAAATTTGTTCACAGTGGTGGTGATAGGAACCAAATGTCTGACGAGTTTAATGCCTTTAAAAGCTACCTTACATAAAGTTATTACCCAAAATGTTTATAGATACTCTACCTGAGATATTGTTAATGAGATAAGGTTTTAACCTAAAACATATATACTTTTAAATTATTTTATAGCGATGAGGTACAGGCATGGCATGGTAAGGTAAAATAATATCCAAAGAAAACTTATTTGTGGATTTACCACTACTTCATGATTATCAACACTACATATAAAACCTCACAAGGCATGTGCAGGTTCAGTGGTTGTTTTACATAATAGATAGTAAATAAAATGGCTATATTTGCTTTTGCTTCTGGTTCCTATCACCTCCAGTGTAATTAATCTGAGTTGGTGAGTTTCTCCACAGTGCACCATTTCACACCAAACCACTCTGAGTGACTTTGTTTAGATCCTAACACCTGAATTATGTAGAAATTGTGAATTGTGAAGAAATTGTGAATTATGTAGAAATTGTGAATGTAACACTGTCTTTTAAGAAAAGACAGTGTTACATTGCTGACACGAAGGGATTAGCTTGAAGTGAAAGTTTTCTACGTAAAAACCTGCACTACAGCGCCAGAGAGTTGAGTGAGACTAAGGCCTATCAAATCTGTATTGCTGCCTTTTTACCTCCAGCGTTTACAGTAAACTAGCGTTAATCGCTTTGGGCCTGCAGGGCTCTACACAGTTGAGTGAGAGAGTGAACACAGTAACCTTCAGGTGTTTTCCCCGCTCTGTCACGGTACAGTAAGATGACGTCTCGCCGAGTCACGTGACCCGCTACTTACAGTAAAACACCCAATATGGCAGAGATGGTGGGTCTTGCACGATAACTAAAAGCAACATTACCATTTCAACAGTAACGCGCTCTCACATTCGGTCGATTTTTCGGGACCCCGACCGCAAACATGAGGGAACGGCAGAAGAAGAAAAAGGGGAGGACGTGGGCAGAGGCGGCGAAAACGGTAAAAGCTGCGGGGCTGTTGCTGTTCGTGTGTTTTGCTTGTTTCCCACTCTTGTTCAACTGTGTTTATGAGTTCATGACCTGCTGCTGGTGCAGGCGGAGAGAGGAGTGCGCGAACCGGGGCCTGAGTGGCTACGAAGCCGCTGAAAGAGTCACCTCGACCTGTGTACACCGAAGCATAAAGATATATACTGCTTTACCGCGACACTCGGTTTATAAAGTTTTCTCCCAGGGTCTATTTTTCATGTTACAACTGCAGACGTAGCTACGCGCATGACGTTTAGGTTATGTGTCCAGCTAACATTGCCTGAGCTAAGCTAAGCTAGCTGCTCAACACTTCACCTAAGCGTTAGCAGTCCACTAAGCTAGCGAGTGAAAACATAACCAAACAGGCGGTTTTTCACGATTAATCTTTTGAAGACGTGTCATTGTGCTGCACATTTTGTACTCTGTGAACGTTTGTGTAGCTGGCCGAATGATGTCAGCTACTTCAAGGCATATTTTATTGGTTAGTTTGAGTTAGCATGTTGAGGGCTGGCTAGCCAACTAGTTAGCCAGCGTTAGCAGTTTGCTAACGTACAGTTTGTACGTGCGAGGCTACGGCTATTTCGGTTTACTTTAACAGCTGACAAGCTGATAACACTGAGTTTTCCTGTGAAATGTTTGAACGTGTGTTTCGGTCAAGCCCAATAATATATTTTTCTTAGGTATGAGAATGAACTTCCCGGCCAGTTGAAAAGTATTAAAGCTAGTCAAAGTTTGACGTATTGTTGTCAACAAGCACGGAGCTAATGTTATATTAAAATAATACTGCGAAGCTGTAGCCTTTCGAGGCAGAAACAGTGGTATAGATGAGTTAATGTAAGTGGTTTACACAGTAATAAAGTAGTACTTAACATATGTCACATTGTTTCTGTGGTTGACCAGAGGTGGGTAGAGTAGCCTCACCCCATACTCAAGTAAAAGTGTTGTTAGTTCTGTAAAGTAATGGCTGAAGTAAAAGTAAAAGTACCTTTCCAAAACTAACCTGTGTATGAGTAAAAAAGTCCAGGTCAAAAAGCTATTTAAGAGCAACGTACAGAACTGCAGTGGAACCTCTTAGTGCATCCAATGTTAATCAGCATAGGAACTGAAGTTTGTTTGGAGCGATTCTTGTCTTTTTGATACACATGCAATAAAAAGATAAACCTGAGCTGTGTTAAATCAGAAATGTAACGTTGATGAAAAAGTAATTTAATATTAATTAAATCTTCATAAAGATACCTGAATGTAAATTGATGTATTATAAATTGAAATAGTAGGAAAAATTCACATTTATTTAAGTACACATAATTGAGTGAATGTGACTAGTTACTACCCATCTCCCAGCTTGGCCATGTGATTCTGGAAGAGTGAAATTGAGCCTACTTTAAAAATAAAGGTGTGGAAACGGGGTCTGAATGTGAAAGTGGCTGCGAGTGGACGGTCACTTGGCCTTTAATTAAAAATTCAACCAAAGAAAAGCTTAGCTAAAAGCTTTTTTGCACTTTTAAGATGCTGTCTCTCTTCACCTGGTCTTAGACAAAGGAAATGAGTCATGGTTGGCTGAAGTCTTGGTATTACTAATCTGCTCTAAAAATGAGAAATCTCACCACCCCTCTCACAGCTGGGGAAGGAACAGCTCTCAGGCTCTGGTCCAGTGACTGACCTCATCCTGTAAGCAAAGTCTCAGCTCAGCTGAGGTGTCTGCATTACTCAGAACACAGTGAAACACACTGGCATTGATTCCCTGCACACTGTGGTGAACATGGCTGATCTTCCGGGTGTGTTTGCATTTTCATAAACACTACCTGTAAGTCTATACACTGATCATTAGGCGTTCTCACAGCAAAGCTGCTAAAATATCAGAATCATGTGATGTATTAGTTGCCACCCAAGTATATCTCTAAGCAATGTAATGTTTTTTCCTAACATTTTTCCCTATAATGATATGAACCTAATAATCTACTACTGTAAAGAACAGTTAAAGGAAAGAGATCTCAATAATGTGTAATGCACTGTATGTCAAAGTTTGTAGACACCTGCTCATCCAAAGCAAAGGTATTAATTGGAACTTTGTACCCCCTTTGCTGCAGTCACAGCCTCTACTCTTCTGGGAAGGCTTTACACTAGACATTGGAACATTGCTGTGAGAATCACTGTTGTTAGTGAAGTCAAGTACTGATGATAGATGATTAGTTCTGCGTCACAAACGCCACTCCAAGTCATCCTAACGGTATTAGATAGAGCTCCATCTCTCCAGAAAACACAGTTCCACCACTCAACAGCCCGATCCTGGAGGGTTGAATACGCCTCTAGCCAACACTTAGCTTAGTACGCTTAGACTCATGTGTAGCTGTTCTCAGAATTGGGTGCACCTTAAAGTAGCTGAATTCACTAATTAGAAGATTTAGAGGTGTCTGGACACTTTTGAATACATAATGTACTTTAAAGCACGGTAAATGAAGGGCAGGAACTTTTGCAATATGTCAATGAATTTATTGTTGAATTGTTACACTAATTTTGAACTTGTTTTTGCTTATTTTGGGCTGAGGCAGTACACACCACCTTTTATTTCTCCTCTTCTTTTGCAGGTACTTGAAAAGTACCCTAACACACCAATGAGTCATAAAGAGATCCTCCAGGTGATTCAGCGAGAGCGACTTAAGGAGATAAGGTGAGGTCATCATCTATCACACGCTTTTTGTCAACATCCGCATATTGTTTTTTTTTGGTTTTTTTTACATTTCACAATCAAGTACACATTTATAATCACCTCAGATTGTTCAGTCTTGCTAACATCTGGACGAAAATGTTTTTTCTTTTGGTTTTGATTGTAGTTTTTATTCATCAAGTTCACTGTCATTTTCTTCAGGGCAAGTGCACTGAGTGCACGCACATACATTTCTAATTTTTGCATCTCTTTTTTTTGTTTCACTGTCCCTATTGTCTTCCAGAAGGTAAGATTAAATAAAAGTTTATCCCCCACTTTTCTTTACACTAACTTCAATCTAGAAGACCTGGGCCCATACCTTTGCATGCGATTAACCATCCCCTAATTGACAGCATGCAAAGGGCTTTACAAACCCAACAAGAGAGTACTCACTGGCTGTAGTTCTCACAATAGCGCTTCCTCATGACCATAACTAAAGGCAGTGTTACGATGGTGCTCCTGTGCTGTCTTTTAGCATTTCTCTCCCTGGTCCTTCAGCCCTGTACACAGCTCTCAGACTTGAATTTTTGAGGAGGGTCTAATTGCAGCACCATATGAGGGCGTTTCTGTGATGCAGATACACCCCCCAGAAACGCCCCTTGTGTGACGTCAGATAAAGCGGGCTAACTGTAGGGGGCTGACATAACGCGCTGGGGTCTTGGTTGCTGTACTGGTGACAGCGAAGACGCAGAGCGAGTTCCACTCACTCCTGTCTCTTTGTGAATCGATCATTTTGATCATCATTCTCACTGTCTGTGAAACTTCATGCCCTCTTCGAATGGCGTGGATACCATCAATAGTTAGTTAGTTGTGTAGACGACCCTACCTGCGATTCTCCTTCAACAAAACAGACAGGCAGTTTCCTCCGAGTCCGTCTGGCTCTTTATTCTAAATAAACACAGTTTCCTACTCAGCCTTTTCAGCCGTTTCTTATACTAATAACAGGCTGGTGCTGATGTGTCAGGAGAGACAGGGAGACACTCCTCAGCGTGTCTCATTTTAATAGGAGGAGGTTTGTTACCTTCCTTTTGCAAACCTTTGGACATAATATTGCGAACTTTCCTGGTAATATCCCACTTTAATGTCCTAATTCTACGATATTATCATCGAAATATTATGACTTTCTTCTCAAAACATTACGATTTTATTCTACAAAATATATATATTTTTTTCTCGAAATATTACGACTTTATTCTCGAAGTCTACTATTTTTATTTTTATTAACAGTGGCCCTAAAACGCGTTCTACAGAACAGTGCGAAAAAAATGGGAAAGATTAATAAGGTCAAGAACAACGAGCGCTTTCATTACAAATTATGATGTTGGTAAGTTTACTGTTAAATTAACGTTTTAGCACAACCTAAAAACTTGTGGAAAATAAGCACATGGTAACCTTGCCAAAGTTATATTGTGCAAGTTGGCAACACCACGGTAGCCCCTGCTGAATAAAGACCATTAGGATTAAAATCTAATGGTTTTTGCCTCCTAATGGTTACCAGTAGAGACCACTATAGTTTCCAAGTAGAATTAGAGATGTGTCTGGAATCAGTCAGGTCATCTAGTAAACCATTAGGATCCTTTACATTATCAACCCATCAAGAAAAGCCAGAACGCATCACAAACCCCCAAGAACCAACAGAAACTCTTAATGGTTTCTATGTTTTTTCTCATTAGGGACGTTAACCTTATAATTCATTATTACACATTAATTGAAATAACGGCTGGTATGGAGCAGATTGCGTAGTACTGCTGAAAACACTGCTGATTGCTACTGTTACGATAGGCATTCAGACCGCAAGCTCAAGTCGGGGATCACAAAACTGCAAGACAGAACTCTATACAAATCACTAGAAGCTATAGATTCATGCATATTTGCTGTTAAATGCCGAATGCTCATTAGGTAAACATGTAGAAACAATATTAATTTAGTATTAGTAATGTCTTTACAAATACTGGTGTATTTTCCCCATTGAGTTGTATCCACCAATGAGAGAAGAAATTTTGCAGACATATTGGCCAGTGAATGATCAGTGGGCGTTCCTGATGTGGGCGTTCTTGTTTTACGGGAAAGCCTTTCGTTGCAGTTCGACTCTATTGGAATTTTTGTGCCACATACTCAAGTCTGTTATTCACAGTTATAGAGTGTATATAATTTGAAGAGAAAACAGAGCCTGAGAGTTGCCATTTCTGTGCACCCAATGACACAAAACTAATGAATAACTGACTATGATTTTGCATAATATTATAGTATTTTTAATTATCCATGTATACATAAGGGTATGCTAGTTTTATTGTTTGTACCAACATTAAGTGCAGAGTAAAATACACTGTAAAAAGATAACAAACCAAACATAAGTTAAAAAAGTAATAAATTCATTTTTATTTTTCATTTATTGTGCTGTTCAGCACTTTTTAAAAAGCCATGCAGTATTCTACTCACTCTTAAATTCAACGTATTGTCTTCCAAAAGGTAAGACACAAAGTCAGATGCTAAACATGCCACTACTGAAAACAAAATATGCTCATTCCATTTCACAGAGATTCTGCTTGAAGTATATTTTCATTTCTTCCCATGACCACATGTTAATCGATGTGTAGTTCTGCTCTTTGCTAAAATGTTATTCATAGGTTAAGTAGACTGTTGTTGTTGCTAGCTAGTTAATTCGTCATTTACATCATTAGCATTCGCTTGTTTGAGGGCACAATAAACCCCCTGCTTAATCAGTTCTCTGTTCACTATTTTTATTGATGGAAAAAACCTACAGTCCTCGCTGGAATGCCCTTTGCCCTGAGTTGATGGAATATATTTTATTCTTATATTTTCATTCTATACAAAAAGTACTTTGCTTCTTAGTGGTATGTTAAAGATTGAAATAATGTACATTACCTTTTTAAAAACAAATTTGCAAATAAATCTCACTGGTTTGTTAAATTAATTTCATACCCTTTCCCTCTTGCACATATCAACAGTAAGTATGGTGAAAATGCATGGTTTGTTGTGTTTTCCATGTATCAGCCCTTTAGAGGTTACACTGTGGTTTGTACTTTCATTTTATCCAGTGGAACATCCCCCCTTGCCTGCCTCAATGCTATGCTCCACACAAACTCCCGGGGTGAGGAGGGGATTTTCTACAAAGTCCCTGGTCGAATGGGAGTCTATACACTGAAGGTTAGTGCGCATAAAACAGAAACCAAAACCTAATAGGACTTTGGAAGAAAAGGAACATCCTGCAATCAAGCCTTGGTTATCATTTCAAACAGGAAGACGTGTGAATGTTACAACATAATGTGCATAAACAGAAAATAGCGATCTTTCACAACCATGTTTAAAGTGCTAGAACATAGCGCCGTTGACCCCTGTTCATAGCTTGTACCCGTGCCACTACATTACCCCATCATTTGCGTTTATCTACATAGCTAACTAGTGACAAAGCTTGAGACTGTACTACTGTTATGGATGTGCAATTGAAAATAATATTGATCTTGTGTGTATTCACCCTGCATAGTTATTGGTCATAAATGTTTATGTATGAAATATACAAAAATGATGTAGCAAATCACTGAGTGGATTACAACTAAAGAGCAGCACGGTGACTCATTAGGAGAAAATAGGCCTTGACATCTGTTTCTGTATATGATGACTGAGCAGAAGGACATTGCAGATGTGGTGAAAGAACTTTCAGAGGAGGCTTCTGAAGATAGCAGCGATAACACGTCTGACGCTCGAAGCACAGAAAACAACAACAGTGCCAGCAGCAAAGAGGGCCGCAGAGGAAGGTGGAAGAGAAGAGGTACCTCACTTTCTTATTAACAATATGTAATTATAGCTTCCACAGTTCTACCAATGCAAATTCAAATGATAAACATGTTCATATGTTATGTCAGCAATGTAGTCATATTAAAGATGGCCCAATTACTCAGGAAAAGTATAATTGTTTATTTTGGGTCTCTACATTTAAGTCTTTACAGGTTCAAATTGAATCTGCATATGCTGTGATAAACTAAAGCTTTGTCAGTATACTTTTATAAATCTACAATAGCAAATGGGCACATCTTGACTGTATGTACTTAAATTGTATTACTGCCATTAAGTATTTCTTCTAAATAGTTTTATAACATGTCAACTTAATGATATATTTTAAAAATATTAGAAATTATCTTCAAGTCCTTTACACTTGTAGCCATTAGTGTTGTTATATTTTGTTGTTGTTGTAATTCATTTGCTAAAATCTGAGTTGTAATGAGTTAGAAAAAAATGTTTTCAAATTTTCAGTAGCAAATATATTTTCACTTACAGTATGGATCCTCTCTTATAGATTGTTAGTTTAATATGTAGGCTAAATTTGAAAGTGTTCACTGATTTTTTTTTTAACCATTGCTAGTGTGATATTTCAGCTGAGTTTCTTTTTGTGAGCACATTATTCATGCAGATCAAATCAGCCTTCAAACAGGAAATGTTTTTTTTTTCTGCAAATCGAGACCACTTCCTCATCTTCATACACTTGAGAGTTGTAAAGAGTTGTTAAGCTAACAGAACATTTTACCCCAGGCTGTCCTTCAAAAGTGTTTGTGAATATTACAGAATAATGCATGCTATAAGAGTGGAGATATACAGAACAAATTACCGTAAGTAGAATATCTGAGTCAAACTTTGATCATAGTTGAAAACTTTTAATATTGTTATGCAGGCGAGACTGAAATGAGTACTGCAGAGACCAGGAAATAATCATCTGAACACACTCATAGAATTTTTCTTTCGTTTTTTTTCTTCAAGTAGCTTTATTTTTATGAATGTTTGAATGTTGTATTTTAATAATAGCTTTAAGGTGGTAATACATTTTGAGCATGGATGTTCAGAATAAATGGTGACTATAGTAGCCGCTGTAGGGTATTAGGAAACGTACTGAATGCTTTTGGTCAGCATTTTATTTTAAGGTTTATTTTCAGAACTGTAGATATACAGTATGTTGAAATGAATTCTACATTAACTATCTGCAAAATGATGCAAGATCCCAGTAAATGCAAAATGCCTATCTTGGATATGTTAAATTAGGGCTCAGCACTTTTACAAGATAAACATCTGTTACAAACTGCGTTTGTATTGTACACGTGAATGGAATGGAACTGACCTTAATTAACTCAGAGAGAGAGATAGGTGTGAGTGTGTATACTTGTGTGTTTGAACACGCTCAGTGCAGTATTCTTCTTTATTTCTTAGGGCCAGCAAAATTGCAGTCACAACCATCATCTCCACAGTCTCGCTGCTCCTCTCCCTCAGTCTCTAGCAACAAGCTCATCTCTTCATCCCAGAAACACAGCAAGAAGGCACTTAAACAGGTGTCAGCATTTCAGCCTTTCTCTGTTTGTGTTTGAGCTTTCCTCTACAAGCTAACATACATGCAACAAAGCACTTCAATGTTGTCAATATTGTTTTTTTGTGTTTTATGTGTTATTATATGTGCTTAGTATCTGTTATGTGTAGAACTGTCTGTTGCATGACTGTACTGTGTAGCTCTAGGGGTTAATGAATAACAATTACAATTAACAGTCCCAATCTGCATCTGATAATAAATGACTTTTTCTTTCTGTCTTGAAAGACTTATTACTTAATAAATACAGATGTAGCAATACAGCGTTAGTGATTTAACCATCAGTTACTGCAAGAAATGCTTGTTAACAGTCCTTTTTCACAATAAGTCTCTCTGTATTTTAAGGCTCTGAAACAACAGCAGCAGAGAAATCAGCGCCGTCAGTGTGGAATTTCCACAGCCTCCAACCCTCGACTGCTACTTAAAACTGTCAAAGACATGACTGATTCAGCATCTGCCAAATCTGGTATGTTCTCCAGCACACATTGTACTTTTTTTTTAGCTTTAAATAGCTCTTCCTTCCTTTTTGAAAAATCACAAATGACATGATTACACCCATGCCTAAATATGTTTTTTCAAATGTGTTCACTTGCCAGCTTTGTTATGTAACGTGTTACTAAAATGTGTTGTACCCATAACATATAATAATATTCATTTATGCATATGCGTTTGTGTTGGCGCAGCAATGAAATATCCAGACTCTCTCACTACTGTAGGCTGGGAACTGAAACAGTCTGAGCGCTGCCCGGCCAGTCCCCAGAATTCTACTTCTAGCTCCTCCTCCTCTGTCAAAGCAGATGTGTGCCACACTGTTGGTGCCAGGAAGATGTCTCAGCGCTCCAGTCGGCTCAGTGCCCGTGAGTGTTTTCAGTTATCCATTGTTTGTGTCACTATCTGGAATTGTCAAAACTGATCATTCCCATAATTATTTTATTATTTTTCTTTAGGCCAGCTAAGACGAACCAAATGTGAGATTGATGTGGAGACTCCCGATTCCATTCTGGTCAACACTAACCTGCGGGCCCTAATCAACAAGCACACATTTTCCATGTTGCCCCCAGATTGTCAACAGAAGCTTCTGAAGCTGCTGCCAGAAATTGACCAACAGGTAGGGAGAAAAAGAAGAACATTGTCATTACTTTGTTTGACAATTAAATTGAAGAAACACACCAGTGATTTACCTAACACTAATGGCGGATTTACATCATCCTTTATTTTAGTCTTGTATGGATGGTCTCCTGAGGGTAACCAGTTCTGCTTTGAACAATGAGTTTTTTACATCTGCTGCACAATCTTGGAAAGAGAGGCTGGCAGAAGGTTGGTTTCTGTATTTGTAGTACATAAAACAAACCTTGCTCAAATGCTTGTTAACTATAGGTCACCTTGTGCCTCACATGTTAGATGGTATATTTAAAACATGTTTACCCACAGGTGAGTTTACCCCTGAGTTAAGACTGAGGATACGGCAAGAGATTGAGAAAGAGAAAAAGGTGGAGCATTGGAAAGAGCACTTCTTTGAAAGCTACTATGGGGAACAGTAAGTTTGTCTGTACATTCAGTACATGTTAAGTCCGAGAAGATCAAAGGCCATGTTGGAGAGAGAATTATGAATTTTATATAAAGGACTTTTTCATTCCAGGTCTGGATTGAGTGTTGAAGAATCCAGGGAGCTGACACAGGTTGAAGGCACTTCTGTACCAGCTAAAGACTTAACCTTGTCTGGAGGATCAGAGTCAAGAACAGAAGCACAGAAGCCAAGCCACACTGCTGAGGTCAGCCAAAAGGAGCAGAGATCCACAGAGGTTAAATCAACAGTACCTATAAGCCATGTAGAATCAGAGTCTTTCTGTACAGGATCAATCATAGCAAGTCACTCCACCTCAGATCAGACGCTGACATCTCCAGACACAAAGACTGCATTGCTGGCACAAGAAGAGTCTGAAGCAACTGCACTGAAAGAAGAACCTTTAACATCAGCTGCAACAGATGAAAATGTTCAAGTAAGTGAGACCAAGTCTGATGCCCCAAAACCTCATCAGGAAGCTGTGAGTATCAGTCCTAAAGGAAAAGATGCATTGGAGACTGAGTCTGTTAAAGTTGATGGGACTGTATCACCAACCTCTGCTGTTACCACGGAGTCCTTGAAGAGGAAAGTCTCTAGTGAACAAGAAACAGCAGAGAAGAAACCTCGCCTCTCCCCACCAGAAGGGTTACCTCAAGCAATAGCTTCGGTAACAGTGCAACAGAGAGTACCCCCTCTAAAAGTAGGTTTCATGTTTTACAGTTTTGCTTTTCATTTTGCAGTTTCGGTTTATTTTGGTTGATTGTAGTTTTTTGTTTGATACTGAATTTACTTTTTATATTTTTAGATCCCTGTGTCGCGAATCCTGCCTGCTCCCCCAGCTGCAGGCCAAGTTTCTCCAAGGACTCCCCATCCCTTGACACCACCCAGTATCCGCCCTGGAGGCACCGGTGCTCGCACTTTAGCTGACATCAAAGCTAAAGCCAAATTAGCTCGAGAACAGCGTGCTGCCGCAGCCGCAGCAGCAGCAGGCGCAGCTACCAGAGGAGCCACTTCGGGACCTGGCTCAACTGGAGGCACTTCCACACCTTCTCCAGCCCGGTCTCTATCAGAGGAATTTTCACCAGCAAGTAGTAGAAGCCAGTCTGTATCACCAGTAAAGATTAGCTCTGTTTCTCCTGCTCCTGAAAGCACAGGGTTTCTCTCCCAAACATCTCCCTCCTCAGGTGCTACTGGGCAGACAGACTCTGGTTTTGCTCAAAGTCTTTGTGCAAATCAACTGTTTTTAAAGGAAAACAGGTCTTTGATGGGTTCCCAGACCACTCAGTGTGCATCAGACCCACTTTCAAAGGATCATCATACCCTTCTGGCAGTTGGTGGGATGCAATTACCACCTTTAAACACACTGGCTCATAATCAGAGAGCACAAGAAGCACCTTTGTCAGGGACCAAATCTCACTCCTCAATCCCTGCCAACAATCCTCTGGTCACTCAGCTCCTTCAAGGTAAAGAAGTTCCCCTTGAAAAGATTCTTCCAAAGCCACTTGCCAAAACCGAGGTGCAATCAGTAACCACTCCAGCACAAGATCACGGGAAATTGGGCATTACCACAAAAGGGTTGGGCAGGGAGAACTCCATAGACACAGAGGATGTTAGCAGATCTAGACTGCAGGCTTCTTCAGGTCAATCTATGATGTCTGGCAGACCTGGGATCAGTATGGACAAGCTAGACAAGATCACTCAGGAGCAGATCATCCATGTTCTGAGACATCGAAGTCAGCAGAGCCAGATCTCCGTGTCAGTCCCTCAGCCGTCTCACTTTGAGCCCTATCAACTAGGCTATCCAGAGAGCTGCAATAACCAACCAAGGTTCCATCTAGGCCTCTTCGGAAGAAAGAGGGTGGCCAAACCTGCCATGACAGGACACTACCTCCTCAATATCTCCACATATGGCAGAGGGTCTGAGAGCAGCAAGCGGCCCCATCTGGCCAACCTAAAGAGAGAAAACGTGGAAGGAGAAGAGAAAGAAGGGGCTGATTTGAGTAGAGGTGCTCACTCTTCTTCAGGACACTCTAACCCTCCTAGGGTTAAAGTTGAACAGCAGGGATATCTCATCTCAAGACCAGATGATGCACTAGGATACCAACACTGTCCTCAAATAAAGTTGGAGTCTCCGGCGCTCAGCTGTTCATCCAGTACTGGAGAAGGTGGCACTTCTACAAAAACCAAAGACACATCTCCAAGACCGCACCTTGATGTCTGCAGTAGTAAACAGGGTATCTCAGGGCCACATCAGTTGAGCGAATGTCACCCACAAGTGAAATCTTTCCAGTCACAGAATTCAAATGATGGGCAAGAACCTGTAATGGGTACTTTCTATGGTGGCACCATCAGCATGTCTGTGCCTCCCTCATTAAATAACAGCATTGCTAACACTGGCACCTCTCCTACAGTCACTTGCAGTCGTGAGAGTGCCAACGGGGGAATGATGTCTTTCTCTGTGACTGTCACTGCCATACCTGCTGGTCACCTTCTAGATCAGAGCAAAGGTGAAGCATCACCAGAGCAGGCCTTCATAGAAGCTTCTGGAATGGAAGATGTTCAGTCAAAGTGCTACTGTCGATTAAAGGCTATGATCATGTGCAAGGGGTGTGGGGCCTTCTGTCATGATGACTGCATTGGTCCCTCCAAGCTGTGTGTCTCATGTCTGGTGGTACGATAATGGTGATGATGACAAATGGTGACAATTGTGATCATAAATATCTGAAAAAAAACAATCATTTGAGTAAAGAGTTTAGTGAGAGTTTTTGAATTTTCAGCTCAGTGTTGAAGTTCTCACTGTGGTTATATGATCATATAACTATTTTCATACAGGAGTCAGGCTTTTATGCTGTTTAGTATGTTAGAGGTTCATGTACATAATTTGTGCAATGCAGAGTAATACTTCCTCTCAGTCAGTTTACTGTAAAGTGAGCACCTTGATCTAGATGCAAGACTCATTGAGTAGTGGCAATATGTAAACGCTGATCATATTCTGTAATATTTTTGTAACATAAAATTTTAGAAATGAAAGTAACAGTATATTACTATTTTTGTAGCTGTGAAGATCATGACCTCCCCTTGTAATTTCTTTCAATAGCAATTTTTAAAGAACTGTGCGGCTTGTTGGATCCAAAACAGTAATGATTTCGATGTGCTTACCCAGCAGGGCAAATTGGATAGTTTATGTCTTTGTAACTCAAGAAAAGAATCACAGAGCTGAAATACCAATTACTTTCAAGAATAACTGTGAATATAAAATTTATCTTATTGACCTGCCTTTTGTCTAGGCTAAAGTGGTACTATTAGATGTGAATATAATCAGTGGTAGATTTAAAAGAAAAAAGAAGTTATTTATGGAGCAGAAGGGAGTAAATATCACAAGCTAGCACTTCTTTTAAAACAAATTTTTTAGGGATATGGTGGAATGTAAGAACCGGTTTATATTGATGATTGAAGGTGGCAATAATTTGTATATTTATATTTATATTAAAAAAAGGCTCATTCATCTAAATCTAAGACAACATCAAAGTCCCTTATATCTCATCTAAGAGAAAATCTTATATGTCTTTTTTAGGGTTGCACTTTTGTATTACTAAAACTGTTAACTTGAATGGACTGCTTGCTAATCAGCTATAAATGCAAACTTTTTGAGTTTGAGGGGAGCTGAAGCACTTCTCTATCAAATCATTTAATGTTCCCTCTCAGGAGCAAACCCAGGTCTCTGTCATTTCACTATATAGATCTGATCATGCTTGTGTTGTTTACGCTGCTCCAGTGAGGAGTGTGAACTGACAATGCCTCTTAAAAAAATCCTGGGACTGTAGATATTCTTTAAACTTAATGTCATTTATGTTTTAAACAGAATAACAATAAAAAATGAAAAATGTTTGTGAGCAATGAAGTACAGTAGAACACTCAAAAGGGAGAATATGAAGATTTTTGGTTTTATTCTGTAAATATTGGCTTTCCTTGAGATGTACTGAGAAATTCTTCTTTTTTTAAAGTTCGATTTCAGTTATCTTGCTTGAACATATCCACTTTGATTACTAAGGCTTTTTATCTGTGAGAAATTTCTTGAGACAAATCACACTATAATTTGTGTCTAAACTCTAAATATTAGACTGTCCTTAAACAATTCAGATTTACAGGTACATTTTGATACATATATAGTATATTAAACGTGCATAAAAAGTTTGCATGTTATGCATCTGGGTATCAGTTGTTTTTGTCAAATTTTCTGCCTTCTACTTAAGACAATTTTAAAAGATTTTGCTTGGTAATATACCAAAGTCAATTTATGGGAATTAGATAATCAGATTTTGTTTTTAATGTCTGTCTAGTTTTGAAAAGTAATATATTTTAATTAATATATTTTAATATAAAATACTATTTACAAGTCATTTTACAAAACATTTAAAGAAACAGGGTATTTACTATCTTTATATTAACTGTCCCATCTTGTTATGCCTCTATCCAGGGTGTACATAACACTTTATAAAATGATTTTTGTACCAGAATTCCCAAGAATATATGCTCCCCCAAGAGACTTGTCTTTGTTTATCTGTTTCATGTGGATAGTCTTGCCTGGAATACATTTACCTGCTACTCAAGTGGGTTTTTCTTTGAAAGTAAATATCTTTGCGTGGCGTTAGCTGGCATCATTCAAATTTAACTTCTAAGTCACACTGACGACTGAAAGATCTTAGCTTCTCTCTCTATCGCTTTATCTCTGTCATATATATATATATATATATATATATATATATATATATATATATATATATACACACACACACACATTGGTTCCACAGTGTCGTGTTTGCTTGTGGTGTATGGAAAAAGTCCAGACTAGCTTGGTAGTTGTATGGATTGTCTTTGGGTGTGAGGGTATTTTTCAGGTGATTTTTGATCTTTGTCATGTCAGTGGGTAAATGTATATGATCTTTTTCATGTTGATATATGCAGTATGGATTACAGTGTGTATAAACATGTATGTACACACACATACACAGTAGAGACATAACAGAACTGTGATAATTTTGTTTTCCCTTTGATTTACCATTATTGGAAACAGTGATTTACATTTAACTCAAAATTTTATCTGAATATGAATTTTGGACATCCCTAGTGGTAGACAATTGTGATTAATCTTTTAATTTGGTATTGAGTAAATAAGCAATGTGTATTTTTCTGGGCCAATACTAATGACAATTACATAAAATACTTCAGCCCACACGGTTAAACTGTTTTCATCCACCCTCTGTAGATAAACCTCAATATGTCCCCAACCTTTATAAAACTTTGACATGACTGATGACATACCTGTTAGTAGGAATATTCTCCTCACTCACTCTGGACTGAGGTGTTGTGATGTGAGATGCAATGTTTTATCACAGTTGTGGAGATCGGAAAATCTGGTGGAGGGTGCCTCCCTATAATGTGTCATTTTTAGTTTTAAGATTTCAAATATTTTATGTAAAATAAAGGTGAATGTAATATAGTAAATGTAATCAGCACTTGTAAGCAGAAGTGTATTTTATCAATAAATGAGAATAAAATACATCAAAATGAACAAATGTAGTGACTCCTTCTTTTTGGACTTAACAATGAAGAATATACGACTGGAGTAATGTTAATTCAGGGGTCCCTCAAGGATCAGTAAGTGGCCCCAAAAAGTAGTGTTTTTCAGTCCTAGAATAGAACTGCCTTGTGTAGTTTTGCATTTTCTCTGCCCAGTTCTACTCAGAAAAGTTTTGCAAATTGGCTGATGACTTTAGTTGGGCAGACAGAGCAGCTGTAGTACTCTAGGACCAGTACTGAGTGAGTGCTTTTTAGGCATGGGTAATATGGCAGTGTTACTGTGATAAATTACACCATTGTACACTCTCCTTGGTACAGAGTGGGTTTTGCATAAATGGTATAGTAGTGAGTAACCATATCCATTATGTCACTAGCTTTTATGATTATTTTATTTTTACCATGAGTTTGATTTTTCCTCCTGTTCCCTTTTAGTTTATTTTTGCAAACAGTGAGTTATTAAAAAAAAATCACTTACAGCCTTTCATCACTATTTTAAGGGGGATTTCAACTATTTTTTATTTCGGCATAATTATTCAGTCATTGAGAGGTAAAGCCATTCAGAGTGGTTTGATATGAAATGGTTCACTGTGGAGCAACTTACAAAATCAGATGTCATCCAGTTGACATCTGGTTCCTATCACCATCACTGTGAACAACTCTGATGCAGTACGTTTCTCTAGAACAAAACACTACACATCAAACCACTCTGGGTGAGTTTGTTTTTGTCTTAATTATTGATTTATGCAGAAATCAATGATGAAAAATCAGAGCAATTTCCCTTTAAGGCACCACTGTTCAGCTAAAGCTTTTTGGCTCTTGCTGTTTGTTCACAAACCCCAGGAAAGAATAAATGTTGTGATACATCGTGTACCATGAAAATTTCAAGTATCATGATGTTCTATCTTTGCTCACACTTAACCCCTCAACATTCCAGGCTTATTACATACTAAGGCTTATTATTTAGCAACTACAGGGACTTCATTGCAAACTAACTGAGCTATTTGTAGGTTATAGAAGTGTGTAATAAAACTAGGCTTGGTAAGGGGTTAAAGAGGAATTTCACCAATTTTTCAAAAATTCTAGGTAATTCAGTTGTTGAAATATAAACAGTCATTCAGAGTGGATTGATCTCAAGTGGTTCATTGTAGAGAAACTTACAAACTCTGATTTCTTTACAGTGGTGGTGATAGGAACCAGGGGTCGTGATGTCTACAACAGACTATAGCCGTTTTATTTACTGTCCAAAACCACCAATGAACCAACATGCACCTTATGAGTTTTTATATGTAATGTTAATGGCAAATAGTCATAAACCTGACTAGAAGTTTTCTTTGTGGACTATTTTGTCTTACATCGCCCTGCATGTACCTGCCATTAATGGATTAAAATAAAAGGATTAAAATCATTTTTAAAACAAAACTATCCTAAAACAATGTTTCAGACAATAGGCAGCATATTGATAACCACTACATGTAATAACTTTCTGTGAGGGAGCTTTTGTATAGGCATTAAAATCTTCAGACATCTGGTTCCTATCACCACCCACTACGAAGTGTTCTGACCTCATTTTTCTCCAGGACGGCACATTTCACAACAAACCACTCTGGATGACTCTGTTTACATTTTAACCATTCAATTATATTGACTTTTTGAAAGATTGGTGGAGTTCCCCTTTAATGATTATTTCACATCATAGGAGTAGAATTATGTGCGGAGCCCTTTAAAAGGTGCCATAAATTGGGCTTATTAATATTACTATCTAAAATATATCTTGCTTATATTTAACGCAATATTAGTATCTTATTAAAAAAAAAAACAAAGCATCGTTAGCTTTCATGTGGCCGTGGCTGTGCATGCGCGCGCCTGCCGGTGTTCTCTGCTGTCCTCTGCTGTTCACTGAGGCTCACAGGAGCGCTGCACTTGCTCAGTGGGCGACTTCTGGCTACTGCGGTTCCTAAGACAGAATCAAACGGAACGGTAACCACGAAAGGAACGCGGTAATGGAGGAGGGCAAGGCCGTCGAAATGCTGCCGAAACGGCGGAGGATTATCGACCAGCATTAAACAAACAAACAAACACACAAACAAAAAGACAGAAGAGGCGGAGAGGAGGTTGTGACATGCCAGGAGTATTTCCTTCTCCAGGACCCAGGAGCATTTATCCCTCTCATCATCAGCCGCTGATGATGGCAGCGCAGCCTGCGTGATTTCCTGCTGGTAAGACCGTTTGACCGTTTGACTATGTTTATTTTTACGCTGACTCGTAACGACGGGCCAGAAAACAAGCGGCTGTTCTGAGGAGCTCGGATCCACATTACGGGAACATTCGCTTATGTACGCGCGCATCTTTCATCGCTGCTGTGTGTTTTGAGTCGATGTGGGGGGTGGGGGGTTAATGTGCATCATGGCCGCAAATGACGTATACGCTCGGTCGGTTTCTGCGGTGGCTCGTGCGGGGATGCGTTATTTGCGGGGCATGTGGAGGGTCCTGTCCGCTGCTGTTCGACGCTAGTGCTGCTGCTGTTACGGAGCGGAGAGGTGCGGCTCTCTCTCTCTCCCTCTCTCTCTCTCTCTCACGAATCTCCCCGTTCCACCTTAAATGGTGCAGCAGTTACATTCACACATCCAGAGGCGCCAGATTGTAACTGCTGCACCATTTAAGGTGGAACGGGGAGATTCGAACAAGAAGCTGGCGAATAGGAAGCCGACTTCAGCCTCGTCTCTCTCTCCAGGCCTGCTGACCGCAGGCAGCCCTGCGCTGCCTTCAGCTCCGGGAAAAAATAAAAGCAGATTAGCGCTCGGCGCTCAGGGCGCAGGGAGTGATTAGGGGCTCCAGCAGCGGTCATGGTGTAATGATCTCGGGTTGTGATTCACGCTCAGCCGAAGATCAGCGTATGACATAATGCTGGGAGACAGTTTTCCATTCGCTGGGAAGAGGAGAGTGGAGTGGCTCTGCGCGCTCACGACCACAGCCGTAGTAAAACGCACTGAACAGAGGCGAGCTAATGAGGATTCTAGCCAAGACACTAACAGTGTAATAATAACAGCAGTGATGGTGATATCAACACTGTAGACGAGGCAGATAATCATAATGTTGCAGATGTTATTATTATAATTATCAATAATCAATAATATTTAAAGGGAATTCCACTGGTGTTTCAAATTTTCTGCATAATTAAATGGAGATGTAAATAAGCTCATTCAGAGTGGTTTGATGTAAAATTCCCCATTCTGGAGAAACATAGGCAAGTCAGAATTGCTCACAGTGGTGGCTGCAGGAACTGGACGTCTGCCTCTGCAAGCTGCCTCACAGAAGGTTATTACACAAAATGGTTTTTAATATGCTGCCTGATGTCCAAGACATTGTTTTACGACAAGTTGAAGACTTGCTTTTGGCCTAAAATGTGTGTGTTTTAAGTCCATTCATGGTGCAGTAGTATGTACAGCAAGTTTTAAGGCAAAAAATCTTATTTTTTTCAGGTTTATCACTTCTTTACCACTATCAACATTACATATCAAAACTCAGAAGACACATATAGGTTTACTGGTGGTCTTGGATAGGAAATTAACTGGCTATATATGCATTTGAGACACTGCTGCCCCTGGTTCCTCTTGCCACCACTATGAAATCTGAGTCAGTAAGTTTCTCTACAGTGAACCATTTCATGTCGCACTGCCATCTAAATTATTAAATCATGCAGAAATTTTGAAAATTTGGTGGAATTCCCCTTAAACAACAACAATAATAATAATAATAATAATAATAATCATAATAGTAACAGTGTAATAACAATGTCATTATTACTAAAAAAAAACCAAAAAGCAGGAAGGCTTTGAGAAAGCCGTTTCTGATGCCTGTCAATGACTCCTGGCTTTTCCCACTCACTGAAGGTCTACAGTGTGCTTCCTGCCTATCATCATAAAGAGCCCTTTTAGCAGCCTTTGTATCATTAGCCCACAGGATGCTGCTTTTGCACAAACTAATGGCAGATGGAATCATCATTTACACACTCGATGAGAACCCGAGTGCTCTTTTGTTGTGACCAGAAAATCAGCAAAGCTGACCTTAATGAAGGCCTTGCTACCGCTGCATTACTAATAAGAGGCAGACATGCATGCTTTTCTTCTACCTTTCTGGGTCTAATTTTTTTTTCCTTTCGCAGGAACGTCCCAATTTTGCTTCCCTTTAGCTGAGAACCAGCCCAACTGACAGGTGAGTATTTTTTATTTAAATCATCCTTTTGAACTGAAGACAAAGTGCCAAAAGTTTGCTTAAGGCCTCATATGCTGGATGAAGCTTTTTACTAACGCATGCAGGTAGAATACAGCAGTAGTGTTATGTGCATCTCACTAAACAGGTTGTGCCTTTACATTAAGAGAGCAGTCATTTTTTTTACTGTGTTATGGGTTTTTATGGAACTTGCTGTGTACATCCTTTGTTGTATACTGTTCTTCCTTCACAGAAACATAAGTTTGATAATTATCAGAAAGTAGTGCAGTACATTTGTACTCCACTGTCACTGTTCTCTTAATGAGGATTTACTCGGAAAGTGTGCTATTTAACCTCCTTCAACATGCTAACAACTACTGTGCCATTAAATAGTATATTATGTATTATATCTATTGTGCCCTGAGGCAGGCTTACTGCAAAGATCACTCAGTGCTCAGTTGATGGAGGATCTTTTTTACACAGCTCTGAAACTCTGAAATAGATGTGTCTGAAATAGATTCCAGAGAATTTAAGGAATGTAAACTTGATGGGTCCAGATGAAAAAATATATATTTAGGCTAGCATGTAGGCTAGAGTACTGTGGCTCATTTTTGTCTGTGGTCTGTAATTATGCTGTTTTTTATTTTACATTTAGACACTAGTTTTTATCTTTCCAGTGTTTTACTTATATTTCTGTGTAAATCACTTTGTTGTTTAGTTATTTCATAACTAAAATGAAAAGTGCTATATGAATAAATGTATTATTATTATTATTATTATTAATAACAATAATAATAATAATAATAATAATAATAATGGTAACCTTCGTGTGCACTGATGATGCGGTAGTGAACATTTGTGTTTTTGTGCTGTTCAGAATGATTGAGGAGGGCAGCAAGAGCAGCAAGGCCACAGTGGAGAAGAGGCAGCTCTTTATGGAGATGAGTGAGTTAACACACTGTACAGCGCTTTGTTTGCACATGACCACACGCACAGTGAGGCTGAAGCTAGGCTAGCTCCTCTTCACCTTACTGCCACAGCCCAAATGACATCATAAATCTCCTTAAATGTCCTTTAGGCAAAAAAGAGGAATATACTGACCAAGTGCCAAGAGTGGGACTACCGTTATTAAATGGCTGAAATGCCAATTGAAATGTTTGATTTTGAAGTGGTGTATGTTTATTTGGAACCACCTACATGAATAACTGCTAAATAATGCATTAATGATCACCAGGAGCACAAAACTTTGATGTAATCCGGCTGTCAACGTATAGGACGGCGTGCAAGCTACGATTTGTTCAGAAAAGATGCAATCGTAAGTCATACCTCTATACACTCTTTCCTTTTTGTTCCTCTCAAGATTTTGCCTGTGTGAGTTTTATAAATGACCCTAAGTTTAATTACCTTAAATTTAGTTTAAAATGTGATACAGACTAAAATGTGAGATCTTTACTCTTACCTCTGAACACTCTCTCCACTCTGTCTCCGTCCTTCCCTCTCTCAGTTCACCTGGTGGACGTGTGGAACATGATTGAGGCGTTCCGTGACAACGGGCTCAGTACGCTGGACCACAATGCTGAGATCAACGTGTCACGACTTGAGACCATCCTCTCCTCCATCTTCTACCAGCTGAACAAGCGCCTGCCCACCACTCACCAGATTAACGTGGAGCAGTCTATTGGCCTGCTGCTCAACTTTATGGTGGCCACCTATGACAGGTGAGAAGTGGCTCTTTAAAAATGCTGGGACATCAATTGCTATCCATTAAAACAGACACTGCAGATTATTATTATTATTATTATTATTATTACTACTACTACTAATAATAATAATAATACATTTTATTTATATAGCACCTTTCCAAAGCTCAAGGATACTTCATAGAGGTCAAGAACAGGAAAAAATGAAGCCAGTAATGAAACACAAGAATATCACAAGGGAAACAAAACAAGGGGGATAACAGAAGACAAAGCTAAACACAAAAGATTTTAATTATGTCTTATTCTTATAATTAGTTATCCTCAAATGTGTCATTCTATAGTAAATCTAAGGAAATGTCTTGTGAGTAAATTTTACATGAATGAAGGTTTCACAATACGTGCAGAACAATCTGTAACAATTTCTCAGAGCTGCTGTGATAAGTATAATATCATGAACAAGCCTATAATACAAATAAAAGGAATGAGAAGAAAAGAAAGAAGACGAAGAATGTAATATATTACTAGTACTTTCCTTAGCCTTTCATAAATCTTTATAATTCAGTGTATAGCTGTTGGCCCATGCCCTGTCTAAGTCAGAGGTGCTGGAGGGTCCTAAAGGACTGGTGCCCAGCACAGTTTATGTACATGTTCCTGCTCAAAACACACCTACTAATCCTGGTAATTAACTGAATATTCACCTCATTCATTAATTAACAGGATTAGTAAATGTATTACAGCAAGAAAGTCACAGAAGTGTTGGATTGCGGCCCTTCAGTGCTACGGTTGTGCCCTCTAATCTAAATACTAAGGATACTTGTTTAAAGGAGCAGTTTGACTATTGTAGAATCTTTGGAGGCACTTCTTTTACACTAATCAGTATTCAGTGCAGCTCTCTCAGACTGCACTCACACTGTCTCCACTTCAGGCAGTCTATTATTCTACTAACACTGGAGAACGTGCCAAATCAGCTTGCCTATTTTCACACCTTTCACAAAGTCTGTGGATCGATCTTACAGAAGCAGATCAAGCCTAGTTCTAGACTAGATTACTTTGTTAACTGAGATTCTCCACTCACGGTGATTCAAGACTAGGCTTAAGTGACCCCAAATGTAACAAGCTCCATGACGACTGTCAGTAGTCTCTAATGCATGTGTTTGTGTTGCAGTGAGGGTCATGGGAAACTCACAGTTTTTTCTGTGAAGTCAATGCTGGCGACCATGTGTGGTGGGAAGATAGTTGACAAATTACGATGTAAGTAATGTGTTTTTATATGTACATCAATGTTTATGTGTTTTAACCTGGACAGGCCATTTTACACCTTCAAGCAGATGCTACTTTTAGCACCACTTTCTGCTTTATGGCAGTAGTATGTATTTACCTGCCCTTCAGCATATGTAATAAATTTTCATTTTTCAAAGTAACATCATTTAAAATTCATTATGGAACTGGAACTGTTCAATACAAGTGTATGAAATCCATCATTTGGGATTCTCTGTGGGATGTAAAGCCTGTAAGTGGCACTTTGCTGCCCTCTTGTGTTTTTTCAAGAATCTAACCATTCTTAGCAAGGCAAAATATTACACTCCACCTAATTGAATTACATACCCTACCCAAAACCAAAAAGTAAGCGCAATAAAATTATTTTTCTGAACAAACAAACAAAAAAATACATAAAAGAAAAAAGAAACATTATTTTATTTTTCATTTATACATGTCTCAGCATTGCATTTACAGTGGCGCCTCGTGTAGTTACATAAATTGAACACATGACGGTGCTGTTTCACATTAATGCTGTCAACCCACGTTTGCTAAATTCCCCGAATCTAAACGTTACATGAGTGTTTTGTATGAGTTTGCACATTCTTTCACGTATAGTTCTCCCCTCCTCTCAGACATTTTCTCTCAGATATCGGACTCCAGTGGGACGATGGTGTTCGCTAAGTTTGACCAGTTTCTGAGGGAGGTGCTGAAGCTCCCCACGGCTGTGTTTGAGGGCCCTTCGTTCGGCTACACGGAGCACTCAGTGAGGACGTGTTTCCCTCAGCAGGTGAGTGTACGTTCCATGCATAACAAGTTGGCTTATAGTCAGCAGTTCAGCCCACTTCATTTTGGCTGAGCGTCTCTTACCTGTCCTTTGCCAGAAGAAGATATTGCTGAACACCTTCCTGGATGTGATGATGGCAGACCCACCCCCACAGTGCCTCGTTTGGCTACCTCTCATGCACCGACTGGCCAACGTAGAGAACGGTACGTGCTGAGAGCACCGCACCACGCCGGTCTGTTTACCAACCGCCTGCTGCTTCTGAACATACGGCCCAGCATAGAGAGGTTCTTACCGAGGTCTTAAACCTGCCGAAAACGCGCAAAAATGTTGGTGTTGTGAGTTTATGGCATCTAGCGGTGTCAGGGATAAGCCCATGACTCTCAGCCAAATTCCGTGACAAACTGTGCGATGTCCTGTAACTTCAGCTTAGAGCTGGGCGATGTGGCAAAATGTAATATTGTGATACTTCAGGTTGTTTTTACGGTACACGATGTGTTAGTATATTTATTTTTTCAGACATCTGATAATTTAGAACAGACAAAGTAGGGGAGAGAGGGGCACAACCTACCCCTTTTTGTAAAATAATTTAAAAAGTATTTCAGTTGAAATAATCAGATTTTTATACAAGCAACACATAACATCTCTGCAACAAACCAACACTCGAACTTTATTTCTAACACCTACCGTTCATGTAGAATTCCACTGAAAATGACAGGAAGTTACCCCATGGGTGGGTTAATTGTAGCAGACAGAGGGTTAGTTTAACACTGATGAATTACTTCACACAAAGTTAATTCAGTATATTTCAATGTTGTGAGGAACAAATATATTTTACAACCATGTTGCATTATATATTCTAAATCTATGAGACAGACAGGCAGGTCAATTAATAGATACACACACAAGAAATTATATATGAAAACTGACATGAGACTGTGTGTCAATCAACCTCAAATTTATTTTTGCATTCCAGTGCAAGACAGCAAATAAAAAACATCACACATCAGTAAAACATTGAACATTGTTTCTGAATAGCTACAGCTTTACCAACTCTTAATAGCAGTTTCATTAATTTACTTATTTAAAACCAAAATACTAATATCTGAAAGATACTAATACAATAGAAGAAAATCCCTGTTTTCAGATGTTTTCTCACTTTCATTTTAAAATCTGTGTAAACATATGGAATAAAAAACAAAATTTACTTTATTTGTCTTTGTTTACTAAACATAGATTAGATGTAACACCATATAACAACTAACCCCGCAGTACGGAGGCTGTACTTAAGCCTCGCTAGCACTTGCTGTGAGCTTCAATGTTTCTGATTACGTCATAGGCTTCAAAACATTGCTACGTTGTAGGCAACAAGATGGTGATAAAAGTAATATAAGGTTGGATTTTGTGAATTATACAGGCAGCTTAGTACCCAAAAAATTACTTACATGCCCTGAAAACACGCTTTTTCACAGATCTCCTTAAAACACTGATGGACCTTTTAGAATTTTCCTAGTAGATTGTGGCTAGGAAATGTGGTAATGTGGCTAGAAGCACATGCTGCTTGACCTTGTATAACAACATAAAAAACAACATAAATTGTGCCCTGTGTTAGGTTGTTCCCTGTGCTCCCCTAGTGCCACATTTTAAAAATGCTATCAAAATCTGTGAACCCAGTTGTGTTCAACATTTCAGTGTGTTTAGAAAATTGAGACATAGTGTGATGTAATTTATCATGATAATGGTAAATATTGACTTATTGCCCAGCTCTGCTTCAGCTTCCAGGAAGTGGGGGTGCTGATTTCAGGATTGTTTAACTGCAACTGTTACAAAATAGTAAGAAAAAAATCTGAACTTTTACTTAATTTGAACATAGTAATGATCTATATGTGCTCGTTTTAGAGTGGAGTATTTCTGTGTTTTCATCATATGTGTGCAGAACCTACAGCAGCCATGCTAATGGCGTATTTTCATCAAAGCAAGCTGAATCGCTTCCCTCGGCAACTGTTGGCAACTTTGACATCACTAAAATACAGGTTGTGTTTGGAACCTGCTTGGAAAGTGTGTGCAGACCTGTAGGCCAAGGTGGTGACCAAAAGCAGTCTAGTATATATATTCTTTTTAACTGAAAAACGCAATTATGCCCCGTTTGTTTATCAACCGTTGTATTCATTATATCCATTATATTCAACATTTTGGCCTAATCTGTAGCCCATGGCCTCAGTAAATATATCGACAGAAATGACTAGCATGTAGATCTGCATGATTATGAGATCTGACCAAACCAGAGAAATCATGGAGAGGAAGTTTCATTCAGCTCCGTCCAAAACAGCATACCACCATTAAGCTTTTCCAGAACAGTGCATGGCAATAGCGATGGGTGATACCATCGATTTTCCTTTCAATCTGATACTGGGTTTTCATATTCAGACTGATACAGAGTTTTCATATAATGAAAACCGATTCTTTCAAAAGGGGAATGCTTTGTGATTTCTACAGTGAAAACCAGTAAATGGAAATTAAAATGGTGTTTGGAAGCCTTTCCATTAGCCACATAAACTGTCTGTTGAGGGAAATAACTCCAAGTGATCTGCCTTTACAGAGCATTCTCTGTGTCTTTTTAAAAATAATATAAACTAACATAACCTAAGAATACAGGGATTTTTGTTCGGGGTTCACTGCACTGCACTGCACTAAATCCATTTAAACAAGACCAATTATGCTGTCTTTGTAACGAAACATGCGTTTGGTCAATGCTGATGAAATCCTCAATAAAGAGAGAAGTAAATATATTCAGAAAAGTATATTGTGATGTGCAATGTGATTTATTATCATGATAAACAATAATAAACAATAAATGCACAAATGATATTTCGTAATACTACAGTGTTACCATCACAAAATATAAAATGACAGTTTGTAATTTTTGTCACCTGATTCCTATTTTTAACAAAAATATATAATTTATATGAATCACTCTTCCAGACCAGTGGGGGCTACTTGCCTTATATGGTTTTCTGAGCATCGGTTTTGCAAATCTCACGAGGTGACATAAAAGTAATCTGAATCTGATTGGCTCCTTCCTAGCTGGTTCATCAGATTGTACTCCATTGTTATGATTGCAGTGTTCGCATCATGTGGGTCGCTTTTCACATCAGCACAAAAAACACTCCAGGCGAAAGGGCTACGTGTGAACACAACCTAATGAAATGTCTCTCTACACTTTGCTCCAGTCTTCCATCCGGTGGAGTGCTCGTACTGCCGGAGTGAGAGCATGATGGGTTTTCGCTACCGGTGCCAGCAGTGCCACGGCTACCAGCTTTGCCAGAATTGCTTCTGGCGTGGCCATGCCAGCGGTCCCCATAGCAACCAGCATCAGATGAAGGAGCACTCCTCATGGGTACAGAGCACACACACATGCATACCTAGAGAAGGTCCCACTTCAACGTGCCATTAATGAGACGAACTGTAGAGAATGTATTTTATTGGCTCCTGCTGTGGCCCATTTGCCTGCCTGGCACAGAGTAGTAATTGAGCTCCAGAGTTGCACTTCTCTGCAGAATGTCATTCTCCTCTGATGCGGGATTTCATGGGGTTTTTACGTTGCTCGGCAAGTGGGTTATATTGATTACATTTTCAAATCTCCCCCATTGGCCCCAAGCTCAGTCGCTGTGCTGGAAATTGAAGCCCAGGAAAGAATTTGCAGCACTTCCTAAATCCAATTCTGAGAGATTTTCTCTCTCTCTTTATCTCTCTCACTCTCTCTCTCTCTCTCTCCCTCTCCCACTCTCTCTCACCCAAGTGCCACCACAAAGATGATTGTTTTCAACCCCAGAGCACTGAACAAGGTCATGCCAGTTCAGTGTTTTGCTGAATCGAACAACCTTTTTTATCATCACCAAAGTGTCTCAAAAAACTCTAAAACTTTGTAAGTGCATGGCCTGGTCTCTTAGACACAGATTAACCCTAACTGTAGACCAAAAGGGCTTTCCAATAACAAATTAATTTAGTCTGAGAACAGGCTAAATCTGTATCTAGATTAATCAAACTTGACTGTATAACTGATTCAAACATGAATGCTTCTTTGTCTTTATTAAGTGCTATAGCTTTTTTTTACCGGGGGCTTAAGGAGCGTGATTGGTATTCCGTCCACTTCAGTACGTCTAGCGTTGTCTTTGTTTCTGTGCCTTTCACAGAAGTCCCCAGCCAAGAAACTGAGCCATGCCATCAGCAAGTCTCTGGGTTGCGTGCCCATAGGAGAGCCTCCCCACCCTGTGTTCCCCGAGGCAGCTGAGAGACCGCAGGACCTGGCACACCCTGCGTAAGTACCATGGAGCTCCTCATGCCTGACTTTTACAGTCTGGTTGAGGTCAGACCACAATATACAATACCCCACCACCAGACAAAAACATACAAGCATTAATTTCATCATCGGATGGTGGGTTGTTTTCATAGTAATTTTTTTTCACTAATAGAAGCCAAAATGAGCAAAGCCCAAACATAGGACAAACACTAAATGAGAAACAGGGAAGCTAACTATCCTAGCAGGTATACAATGAAAGAAAAATACAGCATAACATTGGTTGAAGATGTGCTTAAGTGGACTGAATCATGGGCTGTAGCTTTTTACTGTGCATGTTAATAAATTAATATGTGTATGTCGGTTTTTTGACAAATTTCTGATGAAATGGGAGCATATTGGTATTTTTATTGGGAGTCTGCAAAGATATTAGCTCAGTCTGGTTGGAATACCTAGAGGCTGGAAACTGCCTCTGCTTTGAACACTAAGCTAAAACCAAAAGGATAAACAGTTGAAATCATACCAAAATTGAAGCACTTGAATGGGCAAAACACAGCTTTTTGTAAACGTTAACATCCTCTCGGTAACTTGCACTTGTTTGTAGCTTTTTTTATTTATTAATTATGCATAACTCTGTCTGAAATATGACTGCCAACTGGGTTGTTTCTGTGGACTCAGAAATTTGGTGATGATTTGGAAGTTATAATCATGTTTAGAAATGAATTTGGCTTTACTGTTTCATTAAACCGTAGTATAGAGGCATCAGAATGCACTGCATTTGCTGTTTTTTGTTTGCTTTTTAAAGCTTTGATTTTCCAGCAAAAGTCAGACCTTGAATCGGTGCAAGATACTGAATTACAGAAGTCTGATTGCCTGCAGGTCAACGTCTACTGTATTTGTAACACAGCGCCATCACATTGTTAGAACAACTGTACTTAAGCTTTGTGACACTCTGTAATTTGCGCAGTGCTCATGCTCACAATGTTCTTCTTGAGGTGTATGATGTAAAATTTTATGGGAAATTATCTCCTCCTACTGGGCTGCTCATGTGAGTCGTTTTTGAGTTTTCATGTGGACGTAGAGATTTTTGAAACGCTGCTGGTGTAGATGGAGATTTGTTTTTAAATAGAGTGAAAAAACTATTTTTTAAAAACAGTATCTGAATACATATGGACAAGGCTTTAGTCAACAGGTGACTGGCCTGTTGATGAAACTGCAATGGGAATCTGTCTCAGTTAAAAACAGTACCATCCTCACTGTCCAGTAACAGGACATTTACCTTACATGGAAATGTGCCAGCCATGTTTGTCATGACACGGCAATGTTTAATGCAGAAACTCACTTTGCAAGTAGCTTTTGTTTGCCACCACTAACAGCTAGTGCCCTAAAGGGATTTTCACCAAGCTAAATTTACATTTTACAGAAGCTCTCCAGACATTTGAAGCTTGCAACAGAAATTGAAGTAATACATTCTTTATTGTGGATGTTGACTCCATCATAATGACCGAAAACACAGGGGCAGGCGATCGTTACCACATTTTAAGCTTATAACAGGCATGTAGGCAACATTTTTACTTTGCCTCAGTTTTTAAGTAACTCTTTCTTCAACGTTTTGAAGCGTGTCCTTTATTACTGTACATTAGCCTGTTAGCCAGTTACCTTTCTGCTGCCTGCTCGAGAGAGGGCAGAACATATGCATTTATAAAGAGAATATAAAGTTGTAAATAACTAGTTAAAGCAAGTCAGCTGTGCCCGGTGATGTTCAACTGGCAGTTCGCCATCTGCTTACAATTTATGGGCACAGATTTCAACACTAACAACTGGGCTATTTCAAGGAGTCATTATAAAGCCACCTTTACTGTCTGCTGAAGATCTGTGCTTTTTATGCATGCAGCATTGCTGTTCTTGCTGTAATTTCATCATCGTTTGACTCTAGTGACAACTGTGTACGTTGTCCCAGAAATGCTTCAAAGATGGGACAAAAAGATAACTTAAAAAGTAAGTGCACTTTCTTTGAGTTCACTCAAAATGGTAATGAATGGCAATTCTGTTCCCTAGCCGGATATTTCAGCTGTTGGACTTGTTCGAGATGAACTGCACCTGGCCTTGGTGGTCAGCAAGAGTAGCCAACTGCAGTTGGCTGAGAAGTTGAGGAGAGAGCTGTCAAACTCGATGGTTTTACTGATAGCACCCCACCTGAGCCAGCAGCACATTCATATATCAGATGTAACATTTATTTGAAAAATATGAATTTGAATATCACATGAAAATAATGACCACAAACACTATATATTTTAATAGGCTACATACTGTATTCAGGACAGTTTGTGTCCACATCATCTAGCCAATGAGGGTTAAGCTCCGTCGTCATCAAGCTGTCTCTCAGCTCGCTCAGTAAGATGGTGAGCAGCTATGACGCCTGGCTTTGCAAACTGCAACTGCCTCGTTCCTGTGAGATAAGAATGCATGTCCGGTGGTGCTGACACAAATCAGACAAAATAGTAACCAGCACACACTGTAACGAGCCAGGTGGCAATCAGTCTGCGCAGCTCCATGTTGAGTTGAACAAGTTTATAATCTTGAAACAAAGTGGTCCTGTGATTAAATTAAGGTGGATAGGCATGAACAGACAGGTAGTCACACAGCAGCAAAACCAATCAAAATCCCCATTTCAACTGGGGGGTGAGACATTTGCCAATCAACTAAACCTTTTGTGCTGCAGCAAACTAGTGCCTGTAAAAATGTTTCCACTGCAATTCATGGAATAATGCTGCTGATTGTATTTTGAGTTACCACACAATGTCAGTTTCAGTATTTCTTCCTGCTGAATTGCTAACCAAAAATTTGATGTTTTTCAGAGATGGATCTATATAGAACCATATACGACACATCCTCCATCAATCTGAAGAGCCATTCACCATGCAAAGAACCGTTAAACATGGATATGGTCCTATATAGAACCATTTCCTTTACTAAAGAACCTTTGAAAAAAGTGCATTGGGTCAAAATAAACATTAACACTGTTTATGAGTAGATTTATCGAGACATGCCGTTACATTATAGCCATGACATATGGTATATGTAGTTTTAGTTTGTTTTTTGAGGTGTGGCTCCACTCCTGGAGTGCTTCAGTACAGACTTAAACTCCAAGCCTCAGTCTAATTGTCCCAGAGAACATAAACACTGCAAAAAAAAAAAATTCTGTTATTATCACTGAAATGTAGCGTTTGCGATATGTGATATTACATTCTTGTTTCACATTGGACTGTTCATCAGAGACATCCGTAGGTGAAATGACAGCTTTGCCAGTGGAAGTACGAAGGCTGGGTGAGTGGGATATTTGAGTGGGATGTGACACTTGCCTAATGTGACTATCCTAACATCATGTAGGATCATGTTTTTTGTAAAACTGAGATATGCCACAACAACAGAGACTTCACATTTCAGTTTGTAAGATGACAGATGCAATAACAAGTAACTTACATGTGAACTGGCAAGAAAAATATAGTTTTGTTTACCGTGTCTGTATTAAAGCATCACAATCAAAACGTTGCCCTTTTAGAAAAGCTTTCAGCATGCAAAAATTAAGGCTGAGTTGCTGCTTAACTAATTTTGACGCATACAGAAACAGGAGATCTGTCCACTGTTGTTTATTTTAGAAAGGCTTTCTACTAGAAAGGAGTTTTATTGGAAAGGGACACTTTTCCATTGCAAGAGCACAGTTCATGATTTCCATGTTATGATGGTAACCAGTGTAATTGCATGAACAGAACTGAAATGTGTCAACATTAGTCATTTGTGAAATGTCACTGATGACCTCAATAACTAAAGCTGTCTGTTTCATAGTTTAATGTGTAAACAACATTTCTCTGCAGTATCTCTCTCTGTTTTTCTGATTCACAATTCAGGAAAACACAGACAAATATGTTGGTCGTAATTAAAACAAGCTTGACAGTGACTGGTAGAGTACTGAAGAAACTGAACAACATGTTTCAACAGACCATGTTTATAAATGAACATTTACTCATAAAAAGGCTGTAATGGCAGCAGTTCTTATATATATACTGTAACTCCTTATAGCCTTTGTATTGTAAGAATGTTGTAAGAGTATTGTATGCAGATCTACCACTTGTTATGCTACATCCTGTATCATTTTGGCACCTACAGTACCAGTCAAATGTTTGGACACATCTGCTCAGAGGGATTATGTTTACTAACTTATGTTCACGATTTTCCTCAATTTAGTTTAACAGTGAAGACAGGAAAAACACATGGAATTATGCAGGGACCAATGAAAGTGTTAAACACATTCAATCTATCTTCTTCAATTCTTTTAGAAATCAACCTCCCTTTTGCATTGATATAGCTTCACCCACTCTCGATCTTCATGAGGAACCACCTGAGATGCTTTCTCTACAGAACTGGAGAAGATACATATATTATCGCTGTCCAAAAAAACACAAATAGTGCAAGTTATTCAGTTTTCAGCAGATATTTCTGAGGAGTTAGTTAGATAGATAGATAGATAGATAGATAGATAGATAGATAAGATAATCCACTTGAGTTTCAACAGCAGGAGTTTCTAAAACTGGAATAGCTCAAAATGAAAAGCTACAGAGAAAATGTGCCTTCCAACAACTGTGCAAGACCTAGTAGACCACCAAAACTGTCACCACCAGATAAACAGTACTTAAAGCTTTCATCTTGAGAGAGAAGAGAAAATCGAACTCTTCAGATCTGACAAAAATCCACAGGTGTTTCTGTCCATCCTTCCACTGTGAGAAAACAACTCAACACTAAGAATCTGAAAGGATGTGTAGCTGTGAAAAAGCCATTACTGAGAAAAGGAAATAGACAAAAAGATGAAAACGTGTAGATGAAACAAAGAAGCTGCTGGTGTTCTCAGAACAGTGGACTGACAGCTCCAGAGTCCAGACCTCAAAATCACTGAATGTGTTTTGTATTACTTGGATCATGAGACACAGAAGACAACTTCTAAATGGAGACTGAACTTTGGAACC